TGTCACTTCCTAATTGAATTTTCAATCGTATGCAAAACTCCCTACTTTGTTTGATGGTTTTTTGATAGGCAAATAAGTTAGTGTGCTTAAATATTGCAGGCCCCTTGTCTTGACTCAATAATCAAGTTTTCTGGGTTAATTGGTACCAACTTGGTTAAACTCTTAAATATGAAGCTGAAAATGGATTAGAAGGACGGGAGGGAAATTGAAATTGAGACAGGATTGAGGAGTGTAAAGGGAGAAGAGGACCTTTGAACTAATGCTTGAACAATGAATAAATTTGTGCTTGAAAATCTGAAGTTTATTTGTTCATTCACAAGAAAGAAGAATGAAGATGGCCAAAAAATAATTAAAAAAAAAAAGAAAGAAGAATGAAGGGAGTTGGATCTGAGTTCTTTATGGGTTATCTTAATGGGTTTTAATATAAATTTTGATTTGATCTTTATGACTTGCTTGCAGTTACACGTATTGAAGCACGGAGCCAGAACTGCGAAATGTTTATGCACCTAGACATGAATACAGAAATATATCCCATGCGTGATGTAGGTGAAAAATTTACAATGGCATTAGCTCGCACATTGAATATGGATGGAACACCAGATACCTGCTATCATGCTCAAGTATTTTTCTGCCACCGTTGATTTTCTCTCACACATCCAGGTATTACCCTATACTCCAATCTCCCGCTGTCGATTTTTCGTTCTCTCATTTGTAATTTTGGTAAATTTGAATATCAAAATGTAGGGTTCTAAAATTGAATGTAAGTTGCATAATCCTGAGGAGACTCTACAGCTTTGATAGATTTTATTTGAATCCCATTTATATCTTTCACTGGATGTTAATTGGTTGCTGAAGCTGAATTGTTTTTATTTTTATTTTGGGCGGTGGGTGTCCAATTGTTTATTTTCTAGAGCATTGTACTTTTTTTTTTTAAAAAAAAAAAGGGTATTGAGTATGAGCAGGTAAGTAATTTGGCAGTGAAGTTCTTAGCTTTGTTATTGAAAGCATGGACTTAGATTTGGGACCTTTTTGATCTTTACTGGGCAAATCATTTGGTGATTATCAGAGAACACAAAGCTAACTGAACCAAGTTTCTTTGGTTGCGGCACGCGGTTTCCTTTGTTTAGAACTTATCAATTCTAGCCCAATGTTCTGTAGTCTGTATCTTTTTAGTTTCCAAGGTTCTGGGTTACCATTCTCCCTTTACCCACCTCTCGGTTGTAGTAGAATACACTCTCCTGGCTCATTCATAGAATGATGTTAATACTACTTCTATAATAATGTCTTTATTTGCTCTTCTTTCTCTGTTAACTGAAATTTTACTTTGTTGTTCTTACTTGATTTATATTGCCTCTCTGCCACCTCTTGGTTTAGGTATGGTTTGCAAATGGCCAAAACTGGCAAGGTGCGGAAGTCTAATTCACAGTGTCTGAGGTCAAATCCTTATCCATTATCCTCTCGCATCAAAAGAGCTGTTAAGGAAGGTCACAAGAAGGGGAAATGCTCCAAAGCTGGGAGATGAAAGATTGGAAAGATGCAATATGCTCTGTTTGTCTGGAGTTCCCCCATAATGCTGTTCTTCTCCTTTGTTCCTCTTACACCCCTATATGCGTGCAACTGGTAGACGGTTCTCCGATTGTCTTGACCAATATAAGAAAGCTTACACAAAAGTTACTTCAATAAACAATGGGTCAGCGGATAATTCAAGGGTTATTTTGGGTGCAGAGGAGGCTGATGAGGAGCTGGCAGTGCCAGAGCTTTTATGTCCACTCTGTCAGGGGCAGGTGAAGGGTTGGACAGTGATGGAAGCAGCCCAAAAGTATCTAAACAGAAAAAGAAGATCCTGCTTGCAGGAAAAGTACAAGTAGGTGTATCATTGGATTCTGCTATTTAGTTTGTTCTGTTGTACTTCGCACCATGTTAATCAGATTATGAACTGGGATTTTGATGTAATTGGAAATGACAGCGAATTTTGGCAGGAAAATTGATGGGTTGTTGTACTCTTGTTTGATTCTTCATAATAATAGAATAGAAGATTGACTTGAAGCTGTTTGTTTCGCACTTTATTGTTGCAGTTGTATGGAATACAGGTCCGGGGAATCCATGTGGGAGGCACAAACATTCCAGACAACAAGCGTCTGGCAGTTTCTCTTACTAGCATTTATGGAATTGGCCCTGCCAAGGCTCGCCAAATTCTGAGCGAACTCAACATAACCAACAAGCACACTTACGAATTAACTGGAAGAGAACTTAACTCTCTACGTG